TTTTCTTTTCTTTTTTTTTCTTCTTCTTTTTTTTTTAACATCCCTCACAGGTGATAGTGATGCTGGTAGGAGCAGACACCACTATCACCCCAGGGGAGGCTCCATCTATTGGTGGGGAGCTCCACCTGCTGGAAACCAGGCCCAGCGTCCCATTTAACATCAGGTAACCCAAATTTGTTGGAGGAGAATGAGTCTGGAACCTGTCAGCATTGATTGCCCTGGAGTCCAGGGGATTGACTGCACAGGTTATGGGATGTACAATGACTTATTGACCTTTGCCTATATCTTGCCAGGGCCCTGATCAAGCAGGCACAGAAGGGGGGTTGGTACGTGGCAGTTGGAATGATGAGGATGGGACTTCTTCCTCAAGGGGGTGACCGGATGAAGGGGCTCCATCCTCCATTTCCGCTGCCCAGCTAACGAACTCCCTCCTGTCCAGGTTTAGCGGGCCATCTCTATTCCCTCTATTCCCTACTCCCTGCCGTACCAGCTTAATTCCATCGATGTGTGATTAGGGAGGGGGAAAGTGTCTGGGAAATCTATGGGAAGGGGGAGGGGGGAGGGGGATCTCGTCAGGGATCGTGGTCCAATCATTGAAACAGAGTCGATAATTGTTCTCCCTGGCTTCCAATCGATGATCGTCGTCTAGTTGCCAGCCATCCCATTGTGTACCCTTGCTATCCTCCCCCCACATTCCCCTCCCAGCCAGTCCATGCAGAATTCATTTAGGTAGCAGATGATATCAGTCTTTTTAGAGAGGGGCTTTGTCGGCTGTACTAGTCGTGTCCATAGAGCCCTGATTGTTGTCTCAATTGTGTCCTTGATCGCCTCGGTCATCTCGCCCCTCCCCATATGTGCGCCTTCAATGGTCAATATGCAACAGCACCTCCAGGTGGCCCACAACACCGCTTTCCTACCAATGGAGAACAGGTTAGAAGTGAAAGTTGAACCTTGGGCTGTCCAATGTCCACAGAGCAGGGCTCTCCACTCCCATGGCCTGTCAGTGTCTGTTCCAAGGGTAGCCTAGATTCTTGCCCACCATCGCCAGGCAAGCGTTCAGGACGGGCATTGCAGGAAAAGATGTTCAATGGTTTCGTTTGCCTTATGGGATGCAAAACCCTCCAGGCAAGCCGCGCAACACGGGAGGGCCGTGCCTTTCTGCTCCAGGCTAGAGTGGTCAATGAGCCATGCGTTTGTGGGGAGGCAACGGTGGGCGATTTGGCACTGTAGCGAGGCTAGTTTGGCAGGCTTACACTTAGTCTCCTTAAACCATTGGATCGGTCTCAATGTCTCCAATCATATGTTCAGGTGCCTCGCCCATCAGTCCACGATCCGATCTTTCAGGTTAATTCGAGATCTTAGTAACCTGTAGGTGGCCTTAACCCCCAAGCTATGCAGGTATAGGGGTTTAAGGAGACTAAGTGGAGGGATAGGGGTTGTGAGCCCCGCGAGGAGATCCGCCACCTCCATTCGTCCGGGTCGATGGGGAGTTTCTGAATGGGCAGCTCGGGTCTGAAGACTACCCAATAGTTCCCTTCCTTTAACACTCTCACCCTGTGAATAGTTGCCTTTGGGAGCTAGAACACCTCATCTCGGACCCCACGTACCAGTTTGTTTTGGCTGGTCCTATAAAACAGATTTACCAGTGCTTCCTCTCAGCTAGTCGTCAACACTTGACTGGCACGAGCCTCATCCCCGTCGATAGCCACCCAATCTCCCTCCAGAAACCGTGGGCCACGTCGCAATATCTGCACCCATTCTAAGGGGAGGGAGAAAATTACTTCTGCGAGATTTTCCCCAATCCGGTGACAGTGTGGCAGTTTACTTCTAAGTTGGGTTTCTGATATCCTGATGGTATGTTATCCAACGGTTTCCAAACAGAGGTTGGCGGAGTACCTCCTCACACCTACTGGGCTCTGGTCTGTCCGGGAGGGGGAGCCACCGCCAGTCATGGATCAGGCGAGCCCAAAAGTTGTCTTTTTTAAGATCCGCGCGGGCTGCAGCGCGGTCCGAATGCGCCGGTCCACGGGAGGATTTGGGGACTACCCAAAACCGTCGTCCATCCAAACAAGAGGATGGGTTGAAGGCCGAGATTCGGGGGCTAGTCGTGCTATTTGCTCTAATGCTAGGGGTTCCCATGGGAGGTTAGGTGTGCAGATTAATCTTTTAAGCCACTGCAGGGCCAGGGCAGTTGCCTGGGTGTCAGGATCCAGAATCCCCAAGCCGTCGTGGGACTTGGGTTGAACAATCGCCTCCCACGCGACCCTGCTCATCACGTTCTGTGTTTCGTGGTTCCCTCGCCATAGGAAGGCCGCAACACGCTGTCTCAGGGATCTCGAGGCTTCCTGGGACAGGGGCCAAATAGCAGACTTATACCAAAGAGACTCAAGCGCCACATTGTTGATAACGAGAGCCCTGCCAAAGAGTGAGGTGTGTTTGCCTGTCCATGAAGCAACCTTTTGGAGTGTCGGGTCCATTATCCATTTGTCGTTGCACTCAGGTTTGCCTGCAGCCGACAGTTGGATCCCCAGGACTCGGATCGGGGCCTCCAGCGGGCGCCAGGTTACCTTGGGCCGCTCCGAGGGTTTGCCGCCATTGTGGTGCATCCACCACCCCAAGGTCTTACTACCCCAGTTGACCGACATGTCTGAAAGAGTGCAAAAGCGGTTCATCAGACTCTCAATCTCTTCCATATTCCGATGGGAGGCCTCAATCATCAGGGTCAGGTCGTCGGCAAACAAGGAACATACTTGCATTACGTCCTTCGGGATGGAGGTCTCAAATTGGCTGCTAATGCCTCCATAACTACCATGAAGAGGTAAGGGGCCAAGGGATCGCCTTGTCTGACCGAACGCTACAGGGGAAAGTCAAGGGTCAGGTGCCCATTGATTTGCACTTTGGTGGTGGTGTTGGTGTGGAGAATGCGGACCCATCGTCTGAAGTCTTCCCCAAAGTTCATTTTAGCTAGACACTTGTCTAGAAAATGTTCACTCTACATGGTCGTGCGCCTTTTCAAAATCTATAAAGATAAAGGCAGCATTGCACTTGGATTGGCGGGAGAGGGGCAGCAGTTCGTTCACTAATAGGATGTTATGGTGGATGTGACGACCCTTGAGAAAGTCGGTTTGTGAAGGATATATTATCTGCTCCAGCGCTGAGGCCATCTGGTTGGCCAGCGCTTTGGATAGCATTTTGTAAACGACGGTTAACAGTGTAATAGGCCTGTAGTTTCATATGTTCATTTTGTCCCCTTTTTTATATAGTAGTGTGAGCACCCTTTGCCCCACCATCTCCCCCATCACCCAGTCTTCCCACACCTTTTCGTAAAAGCTCATAAGGTCATCCGCCAACCAATCCCAACAGGCAGCCCAAAATTCTTTTGGGAAGCCATCCACACCAGGGGTCTTCTCTTCGCCTATTTGGAGTAAGGTGGTCCATATCTCGTTTTTGGTTATTGGTCGTTCCAGCGCCTCTCTCTGTTGGGGGGTCAGAGTCTTAGTGAGCGGGGTAAGGAAGGTATCGATTTTTGGGTCCTTTTGTTCTATTGGTATGTCCTTAGTACGGGATGTGAAAATATCCTTGTAAAAATCCATAGCCATCCTCATACATTGTGGGGTAGAGGTGGCTAGGGGCGGATCTAGGTCAACGCGGTCCAAAAAGGCCTCGATTGATTGTCTTCTTGTTCTGGCCTTGGCCATAGCGAAAAATCCTGAATCCATAGCCCCTTTCGTGCTATGCCTAGATATCTTGCCTCTGATCCTTATGCCCTGCCATCTATAAGTAGCGAATTCTAAGAGTTTGCTGATAAGGTTTTGTAATTCCGGGCCAGAAGGCTGTTGCTGTAGGTCTTGAATACGATATTGAACTTCCATTTCTCCCTAGAATCTTTGATTAGCTATTTTTTTAGCAAATTCTTTGCATTTGCGACTCATAAAGTAAAGACTATTGTTGAACCATATGATCTTAGAATCAATTAGCTGTTTTTGTTGATGCCAGTATTGCCACATGTCCCGTATTCGCTCAGGAAGTCTTGTTGGTGAAGCAACGCAGTGTTAAGTTTGAAAAAGCATGGCCCATGATCGGGCCGCTTCCTGAAGGTAAGTGTTACTCCACCCACCGTGTGGTCCAATCCCCTATATGGGCTGCGGGGAAGTAGATATGCAAACTGGTGTGCACCTTCCAGATCTTCTGACATAAGGATGAGGTCAATCCGTAACCTGGAACATGTCTCTGCGCCCGTATTCCTAAAGCAAGAGAACCTCTTTTCCCTCGGGAAGGCTCTTCTGAACGTATCGAATACACGAAGGGCAGAGCACAACTCTTCTATGATTGCTTCATCTGTTATTATATATGTCGGGGGAGGGGAGGGAATTCTCCTCCTGTCTAACCAGCAGTCCGGGGTTGCATTAAAGTCTCCTGCAATGATCATCGGGAGGCCTGCTGGGATCTGCTGGCGAATACCCTCAAAGAAGGTTCACCTCTCTCCTTCCGTATTTGGAGCGTATACGCATTGTAATACAGAGCAGTTCCACCTCCAACATTAGTAAGACCGAAACCCACCTCCCTTCCTCCTTGTCTACTACCCAATGCACCGGTGTTGCTCGGGAGGATGGTGGGAACCAAATCGCCACCCCGGCGCTACCTGGCCTCGGGGCATGGGCCCTAAAGGCCTGGTATGGCCATATCAGGTGGTGGGCACAGTGATGGTGTGGGGTGTCAAGAAGGTGGGTCTCTTGAATGCAGACCACATCCGACCATGTTTTCCCAGCCACGCCTCTGACTTGTTCCCATGTCGCCTTTCGTTTGCCTAGTGTGGCCGTTGCCAGACCATTAACATTAAATGTGCGTAGGTCGAGGCTTGCCTCATGTAGGCCTTTGCTCCAGGTCGGGTCTTTTTCGTCGATTAGTCTCACTGGGTCCATCAGCAGAGTGTCAGGTTCCCCAATGCCTCCCGATTCCCTACAGTCTCTGCCAAGTCACCGAGTCAAGGTCTGTGAGGGTTGTGAGCAGCGGGCTCTTGAGAATTCGGCATAGACAGGCTTGGACTTCCTCCTCGGTCCACGCTTTGTTAGATTTCACTTTTAGAAGTTGCATGTCGAGGAAAGTTGTGTGCGAGAACCATCTGAGGCATGCCTCCTGAGCGGGGTCCATTAACAACAGTACTTCCCACTGGGCCCTTGTTGTGTCGGTGCACAACAACTTTCCTTGCACTCCTGGTATGAATGCTTTCTGAATGTGGATACTGATTTCTTCCGCTAGCAAATTATCTTTCATATGTGCAGGCAGGGTGGCAATAAGGGGGTCTGAGCCCGTCAAAGTTACCCCCCCATATTTTTCTTGGGCCGGAGGTACAGTTAAGCCCACTTCCCATCTTCCTTTCTTCTTCCAGAGCGGTAACATCAGGACCTCGTTTAGAGCAGGGACTTCCTGGTATCTCCCCTGTTCTAGTGTGTGTCTCAGTTTACCGCGCTTGTCCCTCGATTGTTGGGGCGGGGGCTCTCTGTCCAGGTCCGGGTACTTCTCTCCCTCCTTGAGGTTGGCCCTGGAGCCATCCACGGTCCCACTTGGGTCCCCATCATCCTTTGTGCGTCTAGTGGGGGTTGGTTTCCCCGACGTTCGGGGATCCAGGGGCAGCAGGTCAGTGCCCTCGTTTCCCCCCCTAGTCGCCCTGCGTGCTCAGAGGGGGTTCTTGAGATTCTGTGTCTCCGGATGGTAGATCGTGTTGTGCGCCGGGACCTACCTCCTCTTAAGGGGTATCTCGTTGTTGGGTCAGCGACACCATGTCTTGGGACAAATGTTGGTTAACAATGGGCGGGCCTGGCGGACAGAATCACTTGTTTACAACATAACACACTTTTTGCAGACTTTCCGGCCACTGGTGGCTTTGTGGTGGACCATTTTCTAGAGCTGAGTGAAGACTATCACTCCCTTCTAACATCGGTACAAGCTCTCGATATGTGCTGTCCCAGAAGTCTGTGGGGAGGCCGGTGTATTGGATATGTAGCCTCTGCATTAGCCAATATGCCAAAGATTCGAGTTTAATACGCAGCGGGGCCGGCTCAAATGTATGGGACGCTATTGTGTCTGTCATTACCACATCTTGGGGGGGAGGGGGGTCCTTGTCGGTTCCTGATTCCTCTTTTTCCACCTCCATGGGGCACGGGCCAAAGGCGTCCACAAAAGGGTATGTGCTTTGCGATGTAGATGGTTCAGCTGAGGGCTTCCCTTGGGCCCGTGTGCTGTCCTCCTGTCGACCCAAAGGAGGTGGTTGTGTTCCCTCTCTTTCGTCCTCGGTTTTCTCTGTTTGCTTGTCGGCCCCATCTTTTCCTTTCCGGGCCTCATCCAGTGAGGGCCCATTCTTTAGATTTTTATCTTGCCATCTCTGGACCACCAACTGCCTCCTCTGCCTTTTGGGGGACGGCCCTCCATTGCCCGGTTGCCGAGTAACTCGCTTTCTCTTGGGTTGCACCGTGGTCCATTCCGCCTCCTTCCCCTAGTCTCCCTTCTTAGATAGTGTGGTTTGAGGGCTTTGTTGCTCCTGCCCCGTCCCTTGCCCCCCTTACATCATTCTTATCTCCAAGGGTTCCAGTGTGGCCCATGCATCTGGGGGTCGGGTATCCCAGTTTGGTTCCCTAGTGCCTTCCCACTCCCAGCCCTTGAGTGACCCTCCCCTCTGGGGCTCTTCCACGTAAGTCCACCCCTCATGGCCCGGATCCACCGGGTGTCATCGGGTGGTTCTGAAAGGGTCCCCTTGCAACCGTCCCGTGGTCCTGGCCATTCGGGCGGGGTGAACCGGGCAAGAGTCATCAGTACACAAGTGGCCATAGCTCTTGCATTTAAAACACCATGGCCGTAACTTGTGGGCGGTATGAATTTTGTACTCCTCTCTGATTCTGTACAAAATGACATCATCAATGGCAAACGGGGGGTTTGTGGGGACATCCAGGGCCAACATGAGATAGTTGTCCCGTTGTGCCACGAAGGAGGGGAGGGGATTGATGAAGTCAAGAATCTTATAACGTTGCCCCAAATCTTGTAAGAAGGTGGCTTGGATTTCGACTGGGATATGTCGAAATTCAACCCAAAAATGTTGCGTCATCATTTGCACCCTCTGCTCGTCTGGTCCTAGCTGTTTGGGGGGAGACCACATATAGATTCTCACTTTCAACCGGTCACATCTTATGCTTTTCCATCCATCCATAGCTTATTTGTCCTTTTCATACATAGCCGGAACCGTGAAGGTGGTGGGGGAGAGGGGTTGGATGAGAAAGGAGTCCCTGGCCGCTTCTGCATCGCATTTCAGTGTTTCGAGACGTAGCCTTATCCACCTTATTTTATCATTCGTTGATTGGTTTGCTGTGTCATCAAAGAACACCCAATTGCTTGCGTGTTTCTGATAGATCCCATCCCTATTTTCCAACTTCTTTGTCGGGAAGTTTTCACCAACACTTTCTTCCCCCCTTGTTCCACCACCATGGAGTCAGATGCACATAAGAATTTGGTTAAGAAGAAGGCCCGCGCCGAGGCCACGTTATCCCGGGGGATATGCTGATTTTTTGTTTTTCTTTCAAAAACGCCCCCATTGGTGTTAGTGTTGCTGGTAAGAGAAGACACCACTAGCGCCTGGGGGGCGGCTCCATCTACTGGTGGGAGCCTCACCTGCTGGAAAACGGGTCCAGCGTCCCATATACAGACAAAATATGCTGATTGGGGTCACCAACTGTGCCAATCCCCCTTGGAATCACGAGGGTTTTGCCCCGGAACGGCTTCTTTACTATTTCTGCCCAGGACCCTGACTGTGATGCTTCCCTGCCACCTAACCCGGTGCCCTCTAAGTCTCCTGCCCTTCCTTGCCCGGGAGGCGCCTGAGATTTCTTTGCCATCTCTGCCCAGGACCCCTGCCGTGTTGTTTCCTTGACATTTGCACTGAGGTCCTATCCCAGTCGTCCCTCCTCCGTGTCACTTGTCCCTTTTTGCATGGTTGGTGTTGATTGACCAGGGGGTGGGGCCAGCGGATGAACCGCCCCTTCCATATTGGTGTGGGGGTGTTCCCCCCGGTTGTTCTCCTGCTCGGTCCATTGTTTTAGCGCCATTTTTCTGGCCAGGGGAGCCGACAGGCTTTGTCCCAGCTGTGCAGGGTGTCCTGTCGAGGGCTCAAGGGGGGGCAAGCGTTCCAGAGTTAACTGCATCTTTTTTAGGGACTCCTCGTTTAGAGGCAGCTCGCAAATGAGAGGCCATGATCTGACGCATGGCTCCCTTGTAGAAGATCATCGAGTCAAGCTGCGTGTTCCTTTTCTTCCTTCGTTGCGTTCCCCCAGGACCAGAGGCAGGGGCAGCCCATCTTGTTGAGTTGATGGCAAATTGCCGACAGCCGTAGCACACAAACCAACCAAGACTGATCAGCAAAGAAGAAGGTGGGGGTGGGCATGAAGAAGAAGAAGAAGAAGAAGAAGAAGAAGAAGAAGAAGAAGAAGAAGAAGGGGATGAAGAAATAGAAGTATGACACGTGAGTACAAAAATAATCCCGAACGCGACTTTATTAAAAATCAGCGTAAAGAACTGACGACTAGGACCCGAAGTTTCGGCCGGCCGCCACCGACACTCCTCAGGGGTCTTGAGTCGCAGAAGGCATGCGGCTCGTCGTTCTGACTGTATTTGTACTCATAGACCCACACATTTCCGAGCAGTCGTACCGCACTTCACACTATACGAACCAGGTCCAACTGGTCACTCCATTACTACGAAAACCGACCACCAGGTGTACTATGAACCTGGACTACCACTGTACTGAAAAATCATCGTGTTCACAACTGACAAAATCAAAAACACATCACCACAATATAACGTCGAGCCTATGAGTCAACCACGCACATATTCCTTCTACCACTGGAGCTCGAACCGTCGTCACACCATCAACAAAGATATCAACCCGTCATTTAACTCGGATCCGCTTTACGTCCACTACTGGGGTCGAACCAAGGTCTCTATGTCGATCGAACATACCTCCAAGTATTAGCGAAAGGTTCAGTAGATCAACAGATCGAACCCTCAAACAGATAGTCCCTACACGTTAAAAAAACAGAGAACAATTTAGACCTTCCGTGACCACTGCACCACTTCCGCGACCACTGCACCACTTCCGCATCCACTTCACCACTTCCGCGACCATTGTACCACTTCCAAAACAGATACTCCCTACAAATTCAAAAAACAAGAAACAATATAGTCCCTACAAATTCAAAAACAGAAAAAATAGACCTTCTGCGACCACTGCTTCCATAGTGTCGGTCCCGCCTCATGAACCATGCCTTGGGAAACCCCCAGCTATCGACCGCAAGTAGACCTACCACCCAAGTTGGTTCCATGCAACCTAGTCAAAACATCGCCCCATCCGCACAGTATAGACACCCAATGATGTCAACAGTTAGCAAATTTTCGAGAAAAGTTAATGAGAGCATGGTAAAAAAACTCATATGGGTAACCTCGTACCCACAGTTCATACTTCAGCAACAGCAGAAACGAGAACTCAAGTCCAGGGATAAAAGTAAAGATACGCGCCCTATGCAAGAATGATCCGACAACCGCAAGCTTATGCTGCCTGCTAGAATAGGACGTGTAATCTTGGATGCTCTGAAATTGCAACGATTGATTGATCCCAACCGTCAGATTCTTGTGAGTGGCCACACATACCACCCTGCACGGATTGGTCATTATCTCAATTGTACATCCAATAAACTCTCATGAATACCCGAAACTCGTCTGTTCCAGGGTCAATCCATCATCATAGCATCCACGAAATCGCCTCAAAATACCATTTGCCCGTTCTCGTGTCGACAAATCATTGATTGAATACTTAACAAAGAGCGAAACATCATCAACCATCTTGCAGTCGGAAACAAGTGCTCTATCCGACCCTAACGAAGAAAGGAAACAATA